ACCTGTCATGCTCATAAACACTTCAATAATTAATCATGACTTCTCAAGATTTCACTTGCATGTAGCAGCGGATTCAATCATATAATAATTTTCATAAAGAAACATTTGTGTTATCACATAAACCAACATCGTTTAAGCACTAAGGCCAACATCATAATATTCCAATGAATATAAACACGTTTATAGAATATATAATGTATATCTTAAACACAACCCAAGCAATCCCAGTGTTACATGACCAGAGCATGACTCGACCAAACATAATTAAATCACTAAACAGCTACATCAATAGCGACCTCGCAACTACAAGCAGTACTACTCCTTGATACCTGCACGATGTCATGTAGGACATCATTCCAGCAGAAGGGTGAGAAATATTATCATAATAACAATGCATATAATCATATATAAATACACAAATACAGAATACATATATTCCATATTTTCTCACCACAATTTGTTATAACTCATCATGTACGTCACAATATATATATAAACAAATATGGATAATCACCTAGCATATTCATCATGCACATGTCCATAAATCTAAACATTTCACATAAACATACACATATTATGTTTATTTCACCAATTCACAATTACACAAGTCATGTACATACACCTATGCATAACTTCATACAATAATCATATATTCATTCCATGAAACTCAATGCAACTCAATGCAATTCATGCCATGTGGTACCAACACTTGTTATCATTTTTCGGTTTTTACATTTAAACCGGGTCCACCCTTCTAGACTGATAACAACAAAGTCCGTCCCCTAGGCTTTCAAACCCACCCTTCTAGGTTTGGGACAAGCCACTAGTCTCCATGAAACTAGCAAACATTGCCTCTTGACTAAATGATGCATATGCAATCAACCACCAAATGCACTTAAAATCGTTCCCGCATCTTAATCCCATGCATTCAAATAATTTATCACTTAAAGAATTATAACATGATTGCACACACAACATATTCACACAATCAAAGTATTCATACTTTAAATCATCACATTTATCAAGCAATGCACACATATTCACCAATATGTTCCCATGCATTCTTCATACACAAACACAAGCAATGCACACATATTCACAATATGTTCTCATGCATTCTTAACATACAAACACAAGCAATGCACACATATTCACAATATGTTCCCATGCATTCTTTACATACAATCGCATACAAACAATATGCATTCACAATATATATATATATATATATATATATATATATATATATATATATATATATATATATATATATATATATATATATATATATATATATATATATATATATATATATATATATATATATATATATATATATATATATATTCATCATTCATCACATACCATTTCATACAAGGTATACACATTCACAGTCAATCTCATCATGCATTCACGTTTAATTCAAACAATGCATATATTGCCAAACGGCCACAAAATCACAATCGATTCCACATTCTAGGATTCACGCCATACGGCAGCCCACAACATATCATACAACAGCATATAAGCTACTCATACAAGAAGAGGTCGATCGCAACCGAACGCTATAACTATTTAAGCCTCACTTACTTAAAGTAATTAATCTCGATTAATCGGTAAAATCGGCTAAAAGTCGGCTAAAAATAATATTTCTTTTCACCAAGTTATAGAACATATTATTAGCTTCAGTTTGATATAAAGAACGTCAAAATCCGATAAACGGTGAAGAAGTTATGAATTTTTGAAGTTTTGAAATAATATTTTCTCACACTTACAGTGTTAATCGGTTAACGCATATGGTTAACCAATTAACCAATCCAAAAACTCAGTTTTTAGGCCAAAAACTCAGTTTTTAGGCCCCCAACACTGTGTTAATCGGTTAACGTATATGGTTAACCGATTAACACCTGAAAAACTCAGAAAAACAGCTACAGGTTCGAACTTAAAAGCCCCAAAAAGTCGCCCGATTAAATAGTTTTTACCCGATTAAATACTTACTCATTATCACCACTCATATAGGGATAATTTAGGATCATAAAACACTAATTCTACGACTTCCGAATTTCACCCAAAATCTTAACCTCCAATTTCTCCAAAAATGGCAAAACTCATAAACTCGATCAAATTCACTCAACGAAACTCAATACTCTCGGCTAAACACTACCCGACTAAACTACGTAACTTATTTCGAGTTTCATCCGCTAAAACTCGGTTTCTATCGATTTAACTCATTTGCCCTAGAAATGGAAAATAGAGAAAACTACCAACAAATCCAACACAACTCATACATAATCATACACATTGATCAAATAATAATGTTTCTCACCCTTACCTGATTAATCGGAAGCTAGAAGTCGTTCTTGATGATTTCCAAGCTTTTCCCTTTTTCTCTTCTTTTCTCCTCTTCCTCTTTCTTTCTCTCATTTTCCTTCTTTCTTTCTCTTATGTTTCTATCTCTTTTCTTTTCTCTCCAATTTCCCTTATATATCCTTCTATTTTCTTTCCATCATAATTCTTCTCTCAAAAATATCTATCAATTCCTTTCTCATAAAATATCTCATCTCATCATTAATTAGAGAATATCTAGTAATTCCACATTATTCTACCAAGTAGAATAAACCAGTTAAATCCATTAACTCATATGAATTAAATAAATCCAATAATTAAAATAATCTCAATAAATCAATTAATTAACATAAATAATCAATTAATGAAAATTGAGCTGTTACATTATACATATTGACAATTTCAAGCCTAACAATATAGAACTAAAAACAAATTTTTAAATAATTCAATTATTACAACTCTACAAATCCAAATAGAAAGAAATATCTTCTCAACAACTTGACCAACTTATGGTTGCTCAAATCACTTCACTCTTATAGGCCTCATGTTTTAGGGATTGTGGACCATCATGACTTTTACTTAAAACACTATGTCCTTGTAGGTGTCATGCTTGAGGGATTATGGTCCATTATGTCAACATCTATGCCCATTTTGATATCATTTATTTCGGCCCATTAGTGACCCATTTCGCCATGTCAAACTTAGGCTCGCCACATCATCCGATGTAACCAAGAATGACTCACCAAGCGCTTATCATCACAAGTGGGACCATACCATGTGAAATCAACAATCTCAAGCCTCTGATTGTCTATAATATGTCATAGAACACACAAACCAAATTAAGTGAAAGACGGTACTTGATTCATTTTAAGAGCGAAGAGGCTATAAATTTGATGATCATGAGTGACTATATTTTTTTCATAGCACCTTAGAAATTTCTCACTAATGTAGAAATCCCATCCAAAGTCACGTCTTAAGGAAGAAATCTATAAATGTCATTGACAAAATAATCATGGTTAGGGTTAAAATGTCAAAACCAGTTGTTAGATTCCTTTCCTATTCTTTCTGTATGAGCAATCATCTTCCCCAACACCGCCCACCTTTATCTTATATCTACCTTGATCAACATACATACTCACAAGAGACACATTTTTGTCCAAGGTTAAGTTGTAAATCTTCTAAATATTGCAAAAATTAGACCTCCCTCAAGCCAAACATCATGCCAAAATGAGGTCAACTCACCATTACTCGCCTTAAAAATTTGTTCATTAAACAAACTAAATCTAATTACTCGTTTCCATACCTAATATGTTCTAAGTCCCTCTAGCAAATATATGTTTTCCTACCTTCACTTAACACAAAGTCTTACACAACCCCATATTTTTTAGAAAATGCCTTAAAATGCAACTGTTTTTCATCAAACCTAGCTAACAACATTATTTTATTAAGAAGAATAAATTAAACTTCTTCACCCTCCAAAGACCTAGACCTCCTTAATTAAATCTAAGTACACATTATCCTAAGTAACCTAAGGGACCTTGTGAGCTTCCATACTAACCCTAAATAAAATATTTAAACACATTCAATTTTAGAAATAGTGTCTGATGGAGATTTGAGGAAAGAAAAAAAATCGATAGAGAACTAGGGATGATATCAATAAAACAAGTTAAACTCTCAAGGATATATTGAGGTTCTTCCATCTTTACAACCTCATTATAATATTTTTAAGCGAAAAATAATAGATAAAACAACAAATTTTGTTTTCACAAATTAGGAGTCAAAATACTAAAATGGTACTCGACCAATTTTATAGTTAAGAATCCTTGAGGGATCCATGATCCATGTCCTTGATACACTCATACAACCATAAAATTTTGTCGAAGTTAACTTTAAGTCTCAAAATCAACTCAAAAATAATTAAGTAGCCTTCATGAATATATTCATGAAGTTTGGCCATCTCCTTTCGAAAAGAAACAAAGTACCATCTACAAGATCATGAACTTAAAATTTGAAAGTAATTGTTCTAAATTGGACCATGACCCAATATGTTTGATAATTGATCAACTAGTCTCAAAAGTCAATACATACCAAAATTATGTATCATCTAAATCACCATAAAAGGTTATAACACCATTAGACAAGGAAATAGACACACCCTATATATAAAATCACCTGATCAAGGATGATTAAGACGAGGAGGATCATTGCATGACATGCCCCATGACACTTTCTAAGCCATATATTACTACTATAAAGTTTTTTTTTCCATTAAATGCTACAGTACTGTCTCAAAATTAAAAGAAATAAAAGTGAGTAGCTGTCAAATGAGAATAATTAGAGCAAAATGTGACCTATACCATATACCAAACTCAATTGTATAGATTTAAAATTTTGATTAGAATGAGACAGCTATAACAACAAAATACAATTCAATAATTCAATGTATCTTGTTGTACATAACAATTTACAAAAGAAAAAACAAATGGTAGAGAATGAAAGAACGACTACCAAAAACATTCTAGTCAAATCAATCTCCAAAACAAAAACAACATAAAAAAATTAAAAAAAAAAACAAGAAATTGTTTATACATGTCCTCAAATTGTTTATACAAGATCCTTCCCTCAAAAAAGAAGAAGAAAAAAAAAATACATAACTATGTTGTTCCCTGCGACCGATAACGTAGCTGCAACGAAATTTGTCTTTCCAACAGAAGCTGTCGTCTGAAATTCGCTATGAAAATCTCCGACCTCTTATCAATGTCATCATCGGAAGGAAAACTTATGGTTCTCTGAAGACACCGCGGCGGCGACGGAGAACCGGAGACTTCTGAATCAGTTTCATCGGAAGAACACATGATCAAGCCAGGACGATCGTTGAAACTGAGCTGGGTTTTGGTCAAAGAAGAAGCTCCTCGTAGGAGTTTTGCAGCGTTCCACGTTTGGTTGAGAATGGTTGAGCTTATGAGAAGCTTTACTTTTTGCACCGCGGCTCTTAGGCGGTGTAGTAGAGATTTGCTTGGTTTTTGATTTTGTGTGCTCATGATGGAAAAGATGGAGATTGTGGAAATGAGTATTGTTGATTTGTGGTTGGTGGGTGAAGGGCTATTTATAGAATAAGTTGGAGATAGAGTGTTAGAGAAGATTATTTACTCGCTCAATTTAAATTGAGGAAAAATAAAAACTTTAAACGATAATTATTTTAAAATAATTTATACAGAACTTCAAAACTAATGAATCATTGGGTTGAAATCACAAACATTTTTATTTATTTTGGAATAATTTTAAAGAGAGGAAATTTTGTTGAATAAATAAACTATAAACTTTCTGGTTAAGGAAAGTAGTGTTGGAAATGGAAATTTCGTGTAGAAATGGATTACCGTGTAAGCTACACGGCTACGGTTTGAAAACGTCTATGATCAACATTTGACAGCTTCGTATTTAGCTACATGAAGAGTATTAGGCAAGAATAATTGAATGAAAGAAAATTGATAGTATGGGCATGGCTAGTAAATATTTCATTCAATTAATTAATTTTTACTTATAGACAAAGTGGTGATAAAATAAACACGAATGTATATTCAGTTTAATAATATTGATATTCCTTGACCAAAAAAATATTGACGTTCCTTAAATTAAGTTAAATTTATAAAATTATTCAATTTGTTCCAATTAGTAAAAACTCTAAATGTATTCATTTTTCTAAATGGTTTTTTTTTTTTTACCGAATTTGTAAATTAGTGTAGTTTAAAAAGATTTTACTAATTTTATACAAACAAAACAACAGTTTACTAAAATAGGATAAGTGGCGTGGAATTTCATAAACTATTCTCATAAATTATGTGGTAATGACACATAAATATTTAATTTATTTGATCAATTTATTCTTAGGTCAATCTATTCAACTCAATTTATTTGATATTTCGAAGGCGTTTGATACTCTCGATTGGAATTTTTTTTTGAAGGTGTTTGTCAAATTTGGTTTCAACAATACATTTTGTAGCTGGATTGATAGAATTCTGCATTCAGCTAAAGTCTCTATTTCTATAAATGGGGAGCTCCACAGGTTTTTCAGCTGTAATAGAGGCGTTCGGCAGGGAGATCTGTTATCGCCTTTATTGTTTTGCATTGCGGAGGATGTGCTAAGCAGGGGTTTGGTTCATCTGGTTACTAATGGCAGCATAAAGCTTATGAAGGTCTGTCGTGATGTCGAAGTTCCTTCACATGTTTTCTATGTCGACGACATAATGTTGTTCATAAAGGAAAGTGTTAGTTCTCTTAATGCTTTATCAGTGCTTTTCAAAAGATATGCTGAGTGTTCTGGACAGGTCTGTAACCCCTCTAAGTCCCTATTATTTGCCAGTTCGATGTCTGCTTCTAGACATGTTATGCTTGCCAACATGATCGTTTTTTTAGTCGTCCATATGTCATTCACTTATTTGGGGGTTCCTATCTTTAAAGGAAGGCCTAAAGCGGTATATTTCATGCCTATTGTGGATAAAGTCAAAAGTAAACTTGCTTTTTGGAAAGCTAGCCTTTTGTATCTAGCTGGGAGAATTCAACTTGTTAAGTCGGTTATTCACAACATGCTTATGTACTCTGTGCGCATTTATTCTTGGGCGACTAGTCTTATTCATTTGGGTGAAAATGATGCAGAAACTTCATATGAAGCCCAACCATTGAGAAACGTAGGGACGGTGTCGTGGAAGATCTGCTGCAACGATTATAAAAGTGGTGCCTTGGGGTTGTGCTCTTTATGGTCTATAAATGAGGCTTCCAACCTTGTGCAGTGTTGGTCCACTATGAATGAAACCAATACCTGGGGTAAGATTTTGAAAGCCAGAATTTTTAAAAACGGCCGACAGGTATGGTATCATGTATTTTCTTCTATATGCACTGGTTCTAAAACCTGCCTACATAATCTATTGGATAATTCGATTTGGAATGTTGGCAATGGGAATAATATTAGACTTTGGTTGGATAATTGGTGTGGTGTTCTGCTGGTTTCTTTGCTGCAGTTTGATGATGCCTCAATGCTGGACTTAAACACGAAGCTGAGTCGGTTTATTGTTGGTAACAATATTGTTTTGCCTACTGATCTTGCTACGGCGTATCCGATGCTGCAACGCCGTTTTGTGGATATTTTTCCTAATGTTTTGCAGGAAGATAAGCTGATGTGGAATTGTTCAGATAGTGGTCAGCTCATATTGAAAGATGCTTACAATTATGTCAAAGGTAACACTTGTGTTGCTCATAGGGGCAGGTTTTCTAAACTTCCTACTGATGAGAAAATTGAAGGTGTGAGAAAAACACAAGAAAGGAGGGTTTGAATTGGGTTTTTAAAAATGAAAGCTTTTTGTGAAACTCAAACAAAGATCATAAATAAACTAATCAAGAAAGAAAAACATACAATATATCATGGTTCACTTGAAAAATATCAAGCTAATCCAGTCCACCCGCCAAGGTGATTTTGTCTTATACACAAGGACTTAATCAACTATAATCAACAAATTACAATGCACTAGCAACCACTGGTGACTAACAACACAGACAACCGTCTCTTCTTAAGGATTCTGACCCAACTGGTCCTTTAAGGAATTACAATCTGCACAAGCAACCGCTGGTGACTAACAAAACAAACAACCGTATCTTCTTAAGGATTCATACCTAACCGGTCCCTTAAGGAGTTACAAACAACAGTTTGAACGAAGATGTTTACAATGAAATTTCTTCTAAACAAACAGATATAAACACTATTAATAACTCAAATGTCTCAAAGACACTAATACAGTATGAATAATATTCTTTCTTTGTATTGTGGTGCTTCAATACTATAGCTTCAGTTCTTCATGGATTGCTTTCAATCAAAGTGTAACCTTTGTATTAATCATTGTGAAGCTTCTTAATTTCTTCAAGTAATCAAGTCCTTATATATCCAGAAAAATATCCGCTGGAGGGCAGATCAGGAATATCCTTTAGGTAACTGGCGACTTGGAATAATGTCATTACGCATGGATGAAAATCATATAAAAAAGTTGTCTTTTGTACCACCAAATCAGGGTAGTGGAATGGTAATGGAATGAGACGTTAAAACGTACTATGTACTATTTTCCCTCGTAGACGTTTGAGCTTCTCTTCTTTACATTAGAGGCTTCTAAATAGAGATGATTGAAGCATGAGTAGAAGAGTTAATCAGTAGGTCTTCAAAGTCTTCAGAACTTGTTCACAAGAATCTTGTCTTCATAAAAGCACTCAGTCTTCAGAAACTTCGGTCACTAGTAACTTAAGTCTCCAGAGTCTTCAGAACGACGTTCAGCAGAACTTTGTCTTCAGAGTCAACAACACTTATTCTTCAGAAAATCAAGTCTTCAGAGTCTTAAGAACTTCGTTCAACAGAACCTTGTCTTCAGCACTTAGTCTTCAGAAGGTAATGACTTCAGAAGCTTGAAAGCTTTCAGAAGTAAAGTATCAGAGTCATGATCAGAAGCAGAAACCAAGAGAGCATTGCAGCAACAACATATTGTCTTCTTAGAATCTTTTTGAATGAGAGTAGATCAGAAGAAGACTTGTTTCTTGTAGTGCAGAAACAACTTTGGTTAGATCAGAGTAATCGTTGAATATGATCTCTATCAGAGTCAGAGCTTTCTCTATCAGAGTCAGAACCTATTTGTTAATTCTTCAGAAAAACAAACGTTAGAGTACCAAAATTATTCTCACACAAATACCACTTTGTTATTATCAAAACTTAGAGATATCTTGCAGAACCAAATCTTGTTCTAAAAATCTCCCCCCTTTTTGATAATGACAAAACCATGTATTTTGATGACACAATTTTTTACGATGATAATTAATAGGAAATGATAGAGATAAGTTTGAAATAACTTCCCTTAATTAAAGCTCCCCCTAAATCTAAGATCTCAAAAATCTTATCAGATTCAAGATCCCGAAGCTTGATTGTAAAGTTCTTATTAGATACACAATAACAACGCTTGATAATATATCAGAGCCTGATTGGACTTATAAAATCCGAGATGGTTCAAGTTTGATTCTTATTAAATGCATCAGATAGAGATAGTGATTCGTTAAATCAGAGCCTGATTATCAGTATATCAATTTGTTTCTGAAAAAAATTCTAAGAAAGAGAATTGAATGCAATTAAAGAGTTAGAATATATGAGCATGATTTAGAGACAAGATATTCTTTATCAAAATGATTTTCCATTTAAGTACTCCCCATTTTCTTCATAATAAAAAAGGTAAGTAATAGTTCAAACAACATAAGATAAACATAAAGAAAACAATGGGATGGCCTAAGGAGTGTCTAAGGTTGAGGAGGAGGATGGAGCCTCTGAAGGACCTGAGCAAGGGCATTCTGAATGCTAAAATTGAGTTCATCGTGCTTGTCCATCCTTGTTCTGAACAACTCTTGATCCTTTTGAATTCTTTCTAAAGTTTGTATAACAGGATCAGAAGTAGAGTTTTCAGCAGCTCTCATGATTTCTTCTTGATTTTTCAAAGCAGCTTCCTTCTCAGCTTGATCTTGAGCTTCTTTGTCAAGAGCTTCCTTAGCCATTCTCTTTGCTAGTTCCCTTTCAATAGCTATCTTAGCTCTAGCTTCCTTTTTAGCCTTCAATCTCTCTTCAGCTTGCTAAAAAAGATAGTCTTTTGACTAAACTGAGAGATTTTGAATCTTTTGAAATTCATCTGACATCCAGTAATTGAATTGATCTCAGGAAGCACCCAAGGCAGAAGAGTCTTCAGTAGAACTTGACTCATCAAAGAGTGCCTTAAATCTCATAACAACATTGTCCTTAAAAATATAAGTAACTTCATTTAGGTTATGAGGGAGAGGGTCAGAAGATTGATTCTCAGGAATTAAATGGGTTTCTTCAGCAGAATCACCCAAGTTGGTGATATCATGATTTTCAAGATTTGATTTTTATGGAGAAGGTTTAGGATGTTCTGAAATGGTTTCTGGGATTATCTATGAAGAGGTTAATGGTGAGGAGATAGTTGGAGATGCTTGTACAGATATGACAGGGTTG